GCACATGGGTTTGCACTGAGCGGGCTTTGACCAACCGCCGAACAGCTGCATGACGAGCTTCTATCAATGTAATGTCCACTTCCCACATGGTTGCCATGGCCAACAGGATGGCTGTAGCATCTGCACTGTTGTAAGATTCTGCGTTTGGAAACTGCTGTAGGAACTGCTCTGAAATCTCGTCTAGCAAACAACCCGAAGACAAAGCCGATTCATACACCAAGTTTGCATCATTGGAAACCATCCCTTCAAAGAGCTTCACAGGGAATGTTTGACGATCCATCTCCACAAAATGGTGCATGCCGGACCCAGTTCTGGACAGAAGTCTGAAAGCCAATGCCCTCGTGGACCTTGTTTTGCTACGATCTTGCACAGCTGGCAAAAGTGAATGAAAGCGATGATAGAGGTTTTCATTGAATTCTGCAACGCCATTCCCAGACGCTTCATCCAAAACCTTGTAAGATCTTTGCATGCCTTTGGCAGCCAGCACCTCTTGATCTGTATCCCAAGCCTCTGATCCAATGAACAAATTTCGATGCATAGCAGACATTGCTGGTGCTATGCAATGCCTGAAGACTGCCACCGCCGATGCCAATCCAGATAGACTTGCCCACTTGCAAGCCCTTTTTCTCATGGTGTCATTGAACTTTGCTCGGTCTAGGTGCATAGCAGCCTCTGCAACATTGTCATGCTCTTGCAGCCCGAATTCAGCGACCAGGTCTTGTTCTTGTCGTCCTTCTTCTCCTGACTCTAAATCAATGTCAGGGCCTTCTGCTGCATCTGCTGCAACATTGCTGGGCTTGCATTCAATGCTAAGCAAATCTGCGGTACCAAGCAATGTCAACCAAGTGTTGTCCACAGGTGGTGGTTCTGCAGGTTTGCTTGCTTCTGAATTTTCCTTTGCAAAGGATCTGGCCCACGTACACATCATTGGACTGAACAGGTTGTGTGTTGACAGAAGGAGACCTACCCAATCCAGACTATTGTCAGCGCCCACCCACCTGCTTCTTGGAAAAACAGGGGCCCGATGGGGCAAGAGAGCTGGGACAACGTAGTAATTAAACTCTTGAAGCAATTGCTCCTTCGACACAATCCGACTGGTGTAATGCTCAATGACATTTGATTGCAAATCTCCATTGAGGTAAAACTCTAAGATCACACGTTGTCGGTTTCTTGTGCGGTTCAACAGAGATCGACTCTTTGTATCTGCTGAGTGCTTCACAGGGTGGGGCTTCAGATACAAGTCAAAGACTTGCCTGCGATGCTCAGTGCATGGTCCGCCTGGGGCAGATTCTCTCTTGATAACCAGCCTTTCCTCAATGATGGACATCAAGGCTTTTCTCAAAGCATAAATGCTACCACCAGTTTGCATGGAGACTGCTGTTGAGATCAGTCCAGAGACATGGTGATCACAAAGATCTGCTGTGTATTTCTGCACTGACGCTAACTTGTGGGTTTTGCAAAGCTGATGGAGCAACACATATTTGGCACCATAGTCCTCCTTCAAATCATGCTGAATGGACTTTTCTGCTTTGATATTGCTGGAGAACCTGTCGGTGACAGGCATTTGAATCTTGATGCCATTGGTGGTTGCTGCAAATGAGTGTAGGCCTGGGACCACATCCATCAAGTCTAGTTGCGCAGACTTGGTATTCTCTGCAGTGGTTCTATCCATGCTTTGAAGCCAGCATGGCTGGAACACTTTGCAGACCAGGTAGTCATTTGACACTGTTTTGATCAAGATCGCAATGGATAATTCCGTTTGCAACACTTTCGTAGCCTTTGCTGAACCATCGTCATTGCCCTGGACAGTCCTGATTCTGGTGGGAGTCTCATCATACAGCCTCCTGCAAATAAGGCAGGGCACTGTCCATCCAGATTGTTTGCAAAGTTCACTGATGGATTGCAGAAGCATACCAATCAAAAGCCCACTTGCTTCAATAACCGCACTGCCAAGCCTCAAAACGTTGACACCAGCCATTTTCTGGCTGACAGATGTAGCCCATGATGCAGCTTCCAAGCTCATTGCAGCTGGCCGATTGGAACAAAGCAAATCATAAACTTCGAAGGTCCGCATTTGGTGATTGTCAGGTTCATCTTCCTGACCTGCTTCTGGACATTCTTTTTCTGTAGTGGGATCTGAACCACAACCATCATTAATGACCCGGTCCAAAGCCAGCGTGAGAGTTCCATGGCAGCTGGTGTCAAGCTTAAGGCTTGACAAAAGGAGTTGCTTTTGCAAAGGGTTCCCAATGTCCCACACTGCTTTGCCAACCCATGCCACAATTTGCTGATTAAACTTAGCCGTGGCATCAACATTGCTGCTGGAAGCAGCTTCAGCCTCAGACTTTACTTGCACCTGCTGCAACTTTTGTCCTTGCTTTGCACGTCTGGCAGCTGCTGCAAAGGCACGCCTGCGATCAGACAAGCTTGCCTCAGCCTGGGGTTCACTGGCAGGACTGGCACAAGCATGACGCTGTCGCAATTCCGCTCGGTATTCATTTGTTCCCCCTGTGCCAAATGGACGCCCTCGTTTCTTTTTTCCTGGTTGTGCTATTTCTGGAGCTGATCTTGAACTTGTAGCCTGAGAATCAGCCTCGTTCCCAATGTCGGAAAGGAGATCAGCCCAACCCGCAGCGGCATCATCATCCATGTTCCCATCATCATCCATTGGTCCAATCAATCCACTGCTGCTAAGCCAGCTAGCTTACTACGTCACTATACTATACTTTACTATACGAGTGAGTAACACAATCAATAGCTTCAATAGCTACAGCTACAGCTATAGAGTCTACTGTCATCAATCTATTCAAATTTATTGAATCTTGAATCTAAATAGTAAGTATTTACTTGGCAGCAGCCTCAGTGACAGAGTGACAGCTAAGCCTACCTAGCCAGCTGCTAGCTGCTAGCTAGCATTGTAAAGTCCTGCTGTGTGCTGTTGCTGCTTTGTTGCCCTTGAGGACTCATGAAATCACACACACAACAGTGATTTGATATGCAAAACTCAGCCAATTGGCCAGCTTACCAAGTTAGTTAGATCCTTTCATCATTATTCATTACTCAGGATCGACGAGTCAGCTGAACTTAGATAAATTCAGATCGATTCATGTACTTATGCACTCCAAAAACGACCTGGCAGACTGTCCTTGGTCTTGAGATCTCCAAGAAATCAGCCATATCCAGGTGGAGGGTAACTGCATGATACCCCTGGTTGGTAAACTGGACGGTCTCCAGCTGGTCCATGAACCTGCGACAGATTCAACACTGTCATGACCCTAGTCACTAGTTCACTAGTCACTAGTGAATCTTGCTTGCAGCACAGGATCTCACCTTGGACCTAGGACCTACCTACACAAACCTGGAACCTGGAATCTGGACCTGGACCTACACAAATGACAAAGACCCTGCGATTCACTACTCTTGGTCATGGTCTCTTGGTCTCAGGTTAGCTGTTAGCTGTTAGCAAAGAATGCAGGACTAGACTCTAGATATTATTGTGTTCTAGACTCTATTCCAGTTTCCCCACACAGGTCTGGATTTGTGCCTGGCATATGGCGTCTGCTCCACGTCGGCACTTTCCTTAATGTTGAACCCCTCCACCTGTTCCATCACCGCTACGATAGGTTCGAAAGCTTGAAGCCACCTGAACGCATCGACAAATGTCACTTCAAATGCCTTGTGCTGCTTCACCGATCCTGAAGCAAAGCGCTTCTGACGCTGTCTGCTAAATGGAGGGCAGGGTGTGCCAAAGCATGCTAGCTGAGGGCTTTCTCCATCACATGGCCGGCACTCATCTGCCCTTGGGTGCAGGTTGCATGGAGAAAACATATGCTGCTCCTCCATGGTGCTGTGCATGTGCTGAATCCCGGGAAAGTTGGCGAGCTGGTAGTCCCGATACAAAGAATTTGGTTCAGAAGTGCCCATTACCTCAAATGGCACACCCAATGCCTGCAAAGCAGAAATCCAGGACCAAAGGGATGTCATCATTATATTATATATAACATGAAAGGTACAATAGGATGAAACCTTAAACACATGAGCATAATGATTACAGTAACTAATTATGTGAGGAAAGGTAAGGTCATAGTGTCATAGTGATAGTTTCATAGATATGAGTGGCTCATTAGACAGTACATAGGTACATATGACATAGGACTTATGAACTTATGAACTGACCAATAGCGGTAGCGCCAACCCAAGGGCCTCCCCAGCAAATCAATCTAGCAGATGAATTTGTCAACATCTGCCTGGGACTCCCTTGAAGTGGGTTTCCTTTCTTTAAGAAACCACCTACTTTGGACACGTCGCTCACGACACACGAGAAAAAAAAGGCGCCTGCAGAACTGCAGCCTCTGTCAGGCTGCCACTGCATCCAGACAGTAGTCTAATTGACTGCCACTGCTTAGGCCAACGGTTGCCTAGGTGTTTCTTCAACAAGCGGACCCACCAAAGTCCTTGGTCAGCCGCCCTGATTGAGCCAAATTCCTCATCTTCTGACTGATGCTCGGCATCGGAATCTGTGCGAATGGCATCAGCTAAATCAGTTGCAAGCGTTTCCTGCTGGGACGCCAGTGTCAGGGATTCCAAAACAGCTTCCCAACCAGAGTCTGTAGTAGAGCTGCTCGAATCACTGGCATCATTGCCAGCAACATCACACAGAGCGTCTAACCAGTCTGTCATCTTTGTCACTGTCCTTGAGCCTCTTGCTGACAATGTTCAAGTCTCACTATTTGTTTCCATTCCAGATTCCAAGCTTTTCCTTCTTCTATTTGGAAGTTCTATTTCAATCGCATTCTAGGTTCCAGCCCTTTTTCTTTTCTATTTCCAAATCCATTTTTGATCCTATTGAATTTCTAAAAATAATATTTTTAAGTTGGAATAGACATAGCAGCACCGGGAGGTCATAATAGTAATGCCCTTGTTACTAGGAGCAGCAAGGTGCCATTGGTGCTTGGGAGATGGTTCTCGTTTCCGCATGTCTACGCGAGTAGGGAAGGCACATCTCCAACGGTGCCCTCTGCGTTGCCAACATCCAGGTCAGCCAATGGATGCCTTGCTGAGAAGCTTTGCATACAAATGGGGGCATGGCAGGACTGCAAATGGACCGCCTGCCACGGAGTGATTCAAAGAGAAGCATCTCCTCGTCATTCATGCCTCTTTCACTGGTTGTGGTGACAAGAGTGATACAGTAAACAATATGTACATATATGATGTGTATATATATATATACAAGGATCTGAAAGAACATCTGGTTCAAACAACATTCCTTCAACGATGTCGTCCACCTGAGCTCTGGACCGACATAGCGATGGCCAGTATTGCGCTGCTTCTGCAACCATTGGAGACGCCGCCGTGTCTGAACCCGCTGGCGGGAGAGCAGCCAGCCGAAGGAGACGGCCACGAGCAGAATGAGAACTCCCACGCCCCGAACCTCAAAGTTGAGATCTTGCGGAGCACTTACAGAGCAGGGCCTGCTCAGCAGGCTGTATTTATCGAGGCTACTGGTACTGTGGTCTGTTTCACCTCAGATAGGGGCTCCTCCAACCTTGGCGAAGTAATAGCTCCAAGGGTCATCGCCTTACAAGACTCAAGACATCTCTGGAGCCTCGAGAAGAAGAAGCTCTGAGCTGGCTGCAGTTCGGGTTGACTTCCATTGGTGGAAAGCCAGATGGGCAAGCATATGGGCAAGTCTCGTTGAGCCAGCCAGTGGTTGTGTAGTAGCCCTGTGAAGGCTTGTTCTTGCAGGGAACACACATACGGAACCTCGGGTAGCTGCAAAGCAAATCGCTGCAAATGTTTGGATTCAAAAGGGATGTAGAAGTGGCTAGCTCAGGCACACACATGGCTGTGAGGTTCTGTGGATCCTTTTCGTTTGGCCTCAAGCTTTTCAAGATGCAAAATGCTGTCGAAGCCTGTCGCCTGTCTCGCCGTATCCGATGTTTTCTGTTGGAATTTATTGTCTGTTCGCCCAACATGTCTTTTCGATTAGGTTGGAGGCCATCGCTATTAGGTTGGAGGCCATTGCTATTAGTAGGTTGGAGGCCATTGCCATTAGAACAGAAGAAAAAAGAAAAGTAAGAAAGGTCTAAAAAAGTTTCGCCAATGCTAGGAGTCCATGCGGGTTGTAGGTGCCCGCCGGGCACTCGGCACAGAAAACGCCCGCGTGGCCCGCTGGGCAAACCTCGTGTTGCCAACAGCCAAACACAGTGCCTCCTTTTGTTATCGTTTTAGTTATAGCCATAGCTTGCATGTGTCTTATAGCGAAAAACTACAAATTGAGCATAGTTCACAAAGAAAAGAGCCGTGTGTTTCTTCCCCAATCTGAGTCTCAACTCCCAATTGCAGCAGTTCCTTAGTCTTCGAAATGGGCAGGAGGGACAGGCCTCTTTCACACATGTGAAACTCCCTGTCGCACAAGTCACGCAAATGAGCACATTCTTTGCAGAGCTTCTCCCACGCATCCTCGCTCAACATGAAGGCCTCTGCATGCCAAAGAGGAGTCGCCACCACCTCCGTGAACAAGCAGGCTGCCGGTGTAGTCAGCCCACACCTGTCCCAAGTCAAAGAAGCACGGGGCATTAAGAGCCGCAGGGTCAGCAAGTTTCCCAAAAAATCTAGGAACCAAAAGAATAGTGCAAGCGCTTCTTTAAGGAAGCTCACCCCCGCCCTCAGGCGGGGGCAGCTTCCTTGAAGAAGCGTGAGCTATCCTACGTCGATATCTAGCTTAAGTAGCTAGGAGCGAAAAAGAGCCTAGAGGGCAAATAGAAAAACCGGAGCTACTAGTAACAAGTGCCACGCTAGTAGTAACAGGTGCCTTACTACTACTGTAGTAGTAACAAGTGCATCGCTACTAGTAACAAGTGCCTTACTAGTAACAATAAGAATTTAATTAGAATTGCAATTACAAGAAGCTGCTAGTAACAAGTGCATCGCTACTAGTAACAAGTGCATCGCTACTAGTAACAAGTGCCACGCTACTAGTAACAATAAGAATTTAATTAGAATTAGAATTAAATTAAAAGCTTCTTGTTACTACTAGTAAGGCACTTGTTACTACTAGCGAGGCACTTGTTCCTAGTAGAATTAGAATTACTAGCAAAGGAATTTAACCGGATGTTCTCTTTGACGCTTTACTCGTTACCTTTCGGCACCTGGGAGGCGTTTGGACCAGCACTTCCGATGGCGCCACCGCCACCTCCACCGCCTGTGGCTTGCGTGTCACGCTGAAAGGGTGCGGTTTTATCTGGGGAATTTCGGCGTTGCGTCTGGACCTTTTTGTGCGGTCGTGGTTTCTCTATAGTTCCTCCAGTGGAAGTGAAAAGCTAGCTCTTTGTAGAAGAAATAAGTGTCCAGGAGGCCAATCTACTCGTCCATTGTTACTTATATTGCAGGGCAAAAGTGCTAACCATCTGGACCACAAGGCAACAAACAAAACTTACGGCCGCCGGGCAAACCCGCATGAGACAGGTACATCATAATCATAATGGACAAGGGAGCAAGAATGAAAGAGCTCTGTTCATATGATGCACTTGGGTTGTCCCTTAGGTGAAATAATAGTATAGGAAGCCAGAAAAGCAGGAATACAGCAACGATATAGCAAATATCAACGGCAACAAAGCCATAGAAAGCAAAAACAGTTATATAAAACATATTAAAACTAAAACTAGGAAACAATACGCCACAAGAGGACAAGAAGCAGGAAAGTAAAGAAAAGCAGGAGAAAAGCCATGAAGTGCAAAACAAGCGCAACAAAAAGTAGGAAAAGCAAGAAAAGCAGGAAAAATCACAGGGAGGCAAGGAAAAGCAGCGAAAAGCAAGACAAGCACAAAAAAGCAGGAAATGCAAGAAAAGCAGGAGCAACCACAAAGAAACAATGGAAAGCAAGGAAAGCCGACAAAACAAAAACAAGCAAAAAAAAAAACAAGAAAAGCAGGATAAATCATAGTCTCATAGAGCAGCAACGAAAAGCCAGAAAAGCAACCAGATGTAGATCCAACCAAAGATTCTCTAAACGCAACACAAAATATCCCCCGAAAAAATAGCGGAAAGGAAGTGGCACAGCAGTGGCCTATGCATCCACCGCCTTTTCCTCCTGCAGCCTGGTGTTGATGGGCGCAAAAATTTACATCATGGAAGAATGAGTTGCTGTTTCAGTTGCACAACTACTCGGAATTGTGATACACCAACGCCTCAATGGCAGCGCTTCCATTGACTTTGGTGGCATTGATAATGACCTCTGACGAAAACAAGCAAAAAAAACAACAACGTGGACGAGTGAGGTTCAATCAAACCTATCAGGCCTATCGGGCCCTGGTTCGGCCTACTCAGCCTCGCCAAGCTGTGTAAGGAAAACGACTGAGCTACAAACTGTGCCGCCAGCGCCACCGCCAGAACCATCGCCACCATCCCCTCGCCCCACAGCGTCCTGAAGTTCCAAGCTGTGAAAATTCTTCGTTTGAGCAGAAAAACAAATTCCTCGCCACTGGCAGAAATGCTGGTACTGTTTGAGGGCATCTCTAAGACCTTGGCCATTTGATGCAATTTAGCTGCGGTTTTGTTTGACTTGCTGAATCTCAGACCTCTGAAATCCTTCATTCAGCTTTTTGTGAAGGTCTGGTGAGGCTAAATGGTGGACTTCAAAACCATGATGATCATGTCTCACTGTTCTCAGGCCAGAGCTTCAGATTGGATCCAAATGATGCCACCGCCAGCACCCGCTGTGTCACCTCCGCCTCCTTGGCAACAGCAGCAAAAATATATTTCCCATTGTTTCACCACAACCAAGCATGTTTCTGAGACACAACGAAGCCTGCATTTCGTGACACTTACTAAGCTGTTCACCACTTGCTGACCAAGTGGGCACTCTCGAAGGTTGGTTGCCAGACTCAGACACACGTACCCGAGCGAGTTCGTACAATCTCCACTCAACAAGAAGTGCCCCCCACACTTGCAATACCAGCATGGGCCCCACACAGCCGCAGCAGTTTGATGTGTGTTTCTTCTTGCCCAGTTATTTTGCAATGATACCGGGCCGTTCCCAATTCACAAGGGCCAAAATTTGGCTTGAACATCCAAGAAGAAGAACCATGGAAGATAAAAAGGGGGTGGCACAGCAAACGCATCTCAGCCTAGCGAGGCTGAGTTATAGCCTCAACGAAAACCATGACATCACTTCCCGCAACAAAAACCAGCATCCCGACAACAATAAGAGCGCGCCCCTCGACAAAGGCCAGGGGTTAGAGCCGAAAGCTGACACGGTCGCAAGTGTGGGGGCTTCTGCAGGCGCTGCCGACTGACGCCTGCCTGGCACGGAGCATGGTTGCAGAACGCTGCCTGCCAGCGATGTCAATGTTCCACGCGGCAGCTGTGAAGTAAACAGGGCGCCTGGCCCTGGCAGCGTGGAGCACTGCTCCGCCGGAGAATACAAGAGGTCGTGTCTTGATTGAGGCGTGTCACAATCCAGGCACAAAACGGTGCGACGGTGCCTACGCCCTCCAAAAGCTGCATGTTTAGCGCTTGTGCCCGTAGCTTAGGTGACCTGTCTGAGGCTGTAGGAGGTTCCGAAGTTCGGGCACGTCACAATCGGGCCACGTAGCCCCAAATCAGTGTTCTGCGCCTTGAACGGAGCGCGTGCATCCAAGATATGTCATTAAAAAATATACTTTCGACGGTCTTCTACAAGCTTCAAGAATTCCTTTAGAGAAGGGCCCGCCATTCCACGAATCACTCACGAATTGCCCAAGCCTTTGAAAGCCGGACAGGCCCGCCTGCCGCTGCGGGACAGCTGGAGTTTTAGCTGGAGCTTTGGATGTTGGGAAGGCTAATTTGGGTCACTGTGTCCAGGATGGTCACAAGTGCCATCTGCAGTGTGATTCCCCGCGTTCCCTTTTTGTGGAGATGGTGGTTGCTGTTGTCGGGGGGTAGGGTGTTGTCTTGTTGGGGCAAACCGATCGTTGTTGCGCTTCCTAAAGGGTTTATTGTTGTGATATAACACCCTCAATCAAGACTCAATCAAGAGGCCTCAATCAAGGGACAGAATTTGGCTTGAACATCCAAGAGGGAGAAGAAGAAGAAGAAAAAGAAGAGCCATGGGAGATAAAGGGGGTGGCACAGCAGACTCATCGCAGCCTAGCATCCAAAAGAGCCATGGACGGCAAAGGGATGCAAAGCAGAATCATCTCAACCCAACAGCGAGAGATCATCTTGCCCCAGAACCGTTTCTATGCAAGAATTGCGAAACCCTCATAGCAAGACTGTTTGGAGAAAAACACAAAACAATGTCCGGATGCATCCAGCCGCGGACCGGAGATTGCCACCAACCATCGTATTTCAGGCCTGGCTGAATCACTCTACAGTATACCTTACACATCTAGCGCCTCTTGTGTTGGAAGCCCTGCCTCCCGTGTGAAGGCAAGCTTTATGGGATTTATTCTGCACTCCGTCACCTCCATTGCCACAGTGAGCTCCCCCTCCACCTCCGCAGCTTAAGTCACTGCCTTGGCACAACATCTCTGCAACAAGAAGCCCCCGAAGTGTTCCGGACTGAGGAACCCACGCCGGCCATCCGGTTGAACCTGGTTTTCACGCGCGCGGTGAAACTCGGAGGCATTTCTATGCGTAGTATATCACACGACGATACGATCTCTAGACACGTGTGAAAGGCCAAAAACTGCGCCGCTCCGATCTGAGAGATTGTGGGAACAAACGTCACATACTGCGCCCCACAGACTCCGCAGACGGTCCACTCCTGCCTGCGGCGCCGTGCCAGGAGCGTCACCGCGATTTGGTGCACAGCCCAAACCCCGTGCACTGATGAGGCCGTGAACCTGGGAACACAGAGAGCTGACAGAGAGCTGCTTGAGTATGCAGACAGGTGAACCGATAGGGGTATGGTAGACGAATAGGATTCTGATTGCACAAGAGGATTGTCCAGTGAACTGTCAACCACAAAACCACCCAGCAACACCAGGCAAAGCCGAGCAAGAAGAGCGCATAGAGACTGTGACAAACTGCAAAGGAGCTGAACACAACATTTGCTTGCTCCAGTGAAAGCTTGGTACCAAGCTGTGACATTTTTCTTGCTGCAGAGAAGGAAAGCTCCAGCCTAGCAAGGCTTCAAAGAAAAACGCTCAATGGAACACAAGCTGTCAGGCCGTTTCTCCGACTGGTAAGAAAAATGTCTAAGACTGGCAGCCAAGGCCAGAACATAGATCTCCGCCTCTTCCTCCACCACAATGCCACCATTCCTGAAAAATGTCTTTTGATTCTCCGGCTTAAAAGTTTGAGACCCGTCTTTCACACGCTTTTGGCTCACACCGTCAATGGAAATGGTGATGTTACGAGGGCTTTCTTGGTGGGAAGGTGCGGCGGGCGCATCGGACACCAGGAATCGGCCACCAGAACGCCGAATCGGACACCAGGAGTCGGTCACCAAGAAATTGGAATCGGTCACCGGTCTCCACGAATCGGTCACCAACTGGTCGCTGATTCGGAGTTCTCACCGTCATCTCGAATCGGTCACCGCAGGAAGCGGAAGCAACAAAGCTGCCGGAGCAAAAACGAGCCAAACCAACCCGAATCGGTCAACTGGTCGCTGATTCGGAGTTCTCACCACCAACCCGAATTGGTCACCGCGGCAGGCGGAAGCAAGAAACCCGCTGGAGAGCCCTAAACAAAGCCCAAGCAAAGCCTGGAACAGCAAAGCCCTAAACCAAACCCGAAGAAACCCTAAAGAAGTTCACCCTAAACCGACCACAAACAAACCGTGTAAAGAAGCCTAAACCAAGCCCAAGGAAACCCTAAAGAAGCCAACCCTAAACTTCTAGGGCTTCCGCCACTTGCGCGCCGCGCAGTGTTGTTTAGAAGGTTGCCGCTAGCTTCGATCATATCCACATGACTCCTCATTGTAGCTCAATTAGCTCAGTTTGGGTCGGTCTTCAGGTCATCCCTCTCTTCTAAGATAATGAAGTGATACGTAAAACTCCTGCCTCCCAGTTGGCCAATGCAATATTCCTCATGGCTCAATTGGTTCAGTTCGGGTGGGTCTTCAGGTCATCCCGTTCTTCTAACATAGTGGCATGTGAAGTTCTTGCCTCCAGAATGCGTTTTTTTGCAAACCAATGATAGATCTTTTGCGCAAATTAAACTTGTCTAGTAAGATAACCATATGTAACATTCCCAGCCCCAAACATTTTTGCGCGCAAGTAAAGCATGAGGAGTGAGCGGTGTTTAGGGTGCACATGAGCGGTGTTTAGGGCATGTTCCTCTACCGGGGGTAAGGGGGTTCATTGCTCAAATGAAGCTGCTGGCCCTTGCTCAGGGCGACACTGGGTGTCGGACCAAGAACAAACCACCCCAAAGAAGCCAAGCCCTAAGCGAAGCCCAAACAAACCCGCCTAAAGAAGCCAAGCCCTAAACAAAGCCAAAACAATCCCGAAAGAAGTGAATCCTGAAAACAAGCCTAAACAAGCCAAAGAAGTCAAGCCCTAAACCAACCCTAAACAAACCAAAACAAAGCCTAAAGAAGCCAAGCCCTGAACCAAACCCACTCAAACTCGCGTATAAAGAAGCCAAACCCTAAACTGTTAGGGCTTGTGCCCACTCTGCGCCAACACAGTTGTTTTTCACCAGGGATTGAAGCTTAGAGGTCCATAAAGTTTCCAGCTTAGGCGTCACCAAACCTTACCACCAACGCAAAGGGTAATTACTTCTATTTATCCTTTAGAAAAATCATTTTCCCCTTTGGAAGGGTTGAAGCTTGGGGCGAACCCCTTCGGGTACTTTTGCTTTGTCCTTTGTTTTACCATCTTTTCCCTGAGACCCAGCCATAAACCAAGCCCAACCACAGCCTAAAGAAGCCAAGCCCTAAACAATCCCTCCAAAAAACGCTGAACCTAAACCAAACCTGACAAAACCCTAAAGGAGTCAACCCTAAACCAAGCGCAAACAACCCCCAAAGAAGCCAAGCCCAAACCAAGCCCAAGGCAACCCCCTTAAGAAGTCAAGCCCGAAAAACAAGCTAAAACAAACACTCAGGGAGTCAAGCCATAAACCAAGCCCAACCAAAGCCTAAAGAAGCCAAGCCTTAACGAAACCCAAACAAACCCTAAAAGAGCGTAACCCTAAACCAAGCCCAAACAAACCCTAAAGTTAAGAAGTCAAGCCCGAAACCAAGCCCAAACAAACCTGCCTTCAAAAGCCAAGCCATATACAAAGCCAGAACAACCCCTAAAGGAGCCTAAACAAACCCCAAAGAAGTCAAGCCCTATACCAGCCTTAAACAAGCCAAAACACAGCCTGAAGAAGCCAAACCTTAAACCAAGGCCAAACAACCCTCAAGAAGCCAAGCTCTTAAATCAAACCCAATCAAACCTGAACCCGAAAGAAGCCAAGCCCCAAACCAATCCCAAGGAAAACCTGCTAAAGAAGGCAAGCCCTAAAAACAACCCAAAAAAAAACCTGTTAAGTCAAGCACGAAACAAGCCCAAACAAACCCTAAACCAAGCACAAGCAACCCCTAAAGAATCCAAGCCCCCAAACACCGCCCAAACAAACCCGCCTAAAGAAGCCAAGCCCTAAACAATGCCAAAACAATCCCGAAAGAAGTGGAGCCGGAAACCAACCCTAAACAACCCAAAGAAGTCAATCCCTAAACCAACCCTAAACAAGCCAAAACAATGCCTAAAGAAGCCAAGCCGTGAACCAAACCCAATCAAACTCGCGTAAAGAGACCAAGCCCTAAACCAATCCCGATCAAACCCTAAAGAAGCCAAGCCCCAAACCAAGCCCAAGGAAATCCTCCTAAAGGAGTCAAGCCCTGAAAAAAGATACAGTAGCAAAAACAAACCGTTAAGCCCTAAACGAAGCCCAAACAAACCCTAAATAGGCGAAACCCTAAACCAAACGGGAAGAAGCCCTAAAGAAGTCAACCCTAAACCAAGCACAAAGAAACCCGCAAAGAAGCCAAGCCCCAAAACAAGGCCAGGAGACCCTAAAGAAGTCAAGCCCTAAAAACAAGCCAAAACAAACCCAGTGACTCAAGCCGAAAGCCAAGCCAAACCAAAGCCTAAAGAAGACAAGCCCTAAACAAAGCCCAAACAAACACTAAATAAGCGAAAGCCTACACCAAACCTGAAGACGCCCTAAAGAAGTCAACCCTGAGCCAAGCACAAACAAACCCTAAAGAAGCCAGGCCCTAAGCAAGGCCCAAAATAACAAAAATAACCCTAAAGAAGTGAAGCCCTTGGGCACCTGTGCAGTCGAAACGCACTTCAAAGATCCCGAGAGGCATGCGTGAATAGCAGCGAATTAGCCGGACACGCCGATGGAACACCTCGATCAAACACCGAGCCTGAACGATTACCGTAAGAGCCCCCCTAGTGTCATTGACTGTCCAGCCAATCGCGATCCCTACAAATGCTAAGCCCTGTTGCTAATACCTGATACCTGGTCGCTGATTCGGAACCACTGCTACCTGGTCGCTACTTCGCGAAAACGGGTCGCTGGTACCTGGTCGCTGATTCGTGGCCGCTGATTCGTGACCCAGCTGGTCGCTGATTAGGAAAAGTTGGTCGCTGATTCGCGAAATCTGGTCGCTGATTCGTGGTCTCTGATTCGAACCACTGGTCGCGATTCGAAGTTTTCTGGGGAAAAAAAGAAGACCTCAAAAGCTTCTAGAGAGGCCGAGCCTGCTTGCAAGCAGGATGTCGAAGCTGACATTCTCGAGCCATGTTCGATTGGCGAAGTCAGCGCTTGACAAGAAGCTGTCGCAAGGGCCTTCCCTTGGCAATTCGAGAAGACTCTGTGATGTGCAACTTCTCACAGAGTGCTCAGCTTCCATCTTATAGCGCTGAGACAAGTGCAAGCGAACAGGAAGCTGATCACAGCGCCGTTGGCTGGACTGCCAGGAGCTTGAAGGTTCAAGCCAAAAGCTCTGCAACCAATAGGCAAAGGTTTCCATTGCAAACCTGGAGTCGACTGCCACGCTTGATCACCAAATCCTGAAAAGGACGCAGCTTGAGAAAACATGCACATGTTCATGTCATGTTCATGTTTGCAACCCTGTGCACCCTCCTCTTCTGCAATGATGGAGCCAGCACGGAGGCGACCACTTCCCAAGACCACCTTATTTGCCTTCATCTTGAAGACTCCTTCACCCTGCCCAAGCCTCAGCAAGCGTCACCTTTTCACCATGTTCCAAGGTTGAGCCTGCTTTATCTTTCAATTCAATGTCGTTTCTCGGTTCACTCTTTGATGTCTTTGAGTGCTTGACGCTCCTTGGTGTGCATGAATTTCGTCTGCCTCAAGATTAGCAACCTTGCAGTTCAAAAGTGCACACTTGAGGAGGTCAAGCAACAAAAAAGGAAGCAGCAATGCGTACGATGCACAACAATTGACAATAATGCACAAACGAAAAACGAACTGCTCCATTCGATGACCTTCCAAGTAACATTGGCGTCGATGGCAGCATTCTGCCGCAGGGTGATATGCCGCGCGCCCAAAATCTGTAGCTCACGAGCCTGAAGAGAATGAGTCGTCATACCATCTTTGTTTCTCAATCAGGTCGTCCATCGAGTGCCCTGATGTGCCCTGTGTGGCATTACATGGTATGGCCACACACGATTCGTAGCCTGCAGAATCGAGGAGAAGGCCAATTCGAGGCCTCGCACGCGCAACGACTCGGACGTTCAAGGCCTCTTAAGGCCTTTGGTCCGACTCAGGCTCAGAGGCTGAGACCATCGTTGGTTTTGCTGAAATTCAAGACCAAGGGCCTGAGCAACGACCCGGCTCTGAACCATTCCTAACCTCCATCTGAACACACCTATAGTCCAAAGTGAGACGTTAGATCTTGTTTCTGAAGAGCTGCCAGGCTACCCAGGTCCCAAGTGCTTCAGCGTGGAGCCCGTTTGATCCGATAGCCTGCACATCATGACACTTCTTTCCATTCACAAGTCACACCAGGGTTAATTTTTGCCAGGTCGACATCGCCAGGCCAGAAAGGAGCCAGGTCGCATCTTGATCCGCCGGAACCACCAACGCATCGTTGACCTGTAACCTAGGAAGACAGGCTGCTGACGGCTACTGACTTTGGGGAATGTTAGCTCCAGACACCACTCAGCCACGCATCCAAGGCGCGACAGAGGACTTGTGAATGCAGGCAGTGATGTTGGTTGAGGCAGCTTTGCTCCGGCCAGATTCACGGCGTAGGAGTTGTCCACGCGAAGTGTCGCAACCTGCTACCCAGCAAACTTAAAACAAGAAAACAACGAAACAACTTGGTTTGCCCTTCGGATCCCTTCAGAATGCATTCGACCACCCCTTATAGTTAGCAGCAAGAAGGCGTTCTGCATCGTTCTGCTGTTTCCAAATGCATTCGGCATCGCTGTGTTGCTTTATTTGCGAGTGGTGACGTCAGTGACGTCCGTTCCCGGAACAATGACGAAGTTCGCGCAAGGTCGCCAGCGGAAGGTCCCCGGTCTCCAAGCTCCAGGCCGCGCAAGAGCTGGGCTGTGGCACAGGTCGTTGAGTTCGTCGAAATCTTTTGAACAACGGCAGCCTCGCTCAGTCGCTGGACGTATCTCCAGTCTCATCAGTTTGAGCCCCTCCTTTTTGGAAGATATTTTAGGACATGCATCAGCCTATTAGCCTCTTTATCTGTGCTTATCTCTGTCCAACTTTGAAGCTCTTAAAGAATTTGCAATGTCTGGATTTGGTTCATGCGTTCTCTCTGTCGTGCGATATTGCCTCACAGGTGATGGCACTAGGCGACGTCGTCTGCCTGGCGCGACAGCGCGGGAACGAAACAGCTATACAGCTGTGACCTATCATCTTTGCATGAAGTGTTTACAACCATGCTGATAGATTCAAAGGACTGTGAATGAGTTATAGTTAGTTCCACGTTGTAGAAGCACTTCATGAAAAGGCCAATAGTATCAATCGTCTTCGATACACGTCGCGGTCTTGTCGTCAACTGCCTTGGCACTTGCTGAAAGCCCATGTTCCAGCCGATCCGCAACGGCAGCCCTCGCCATCCATCTGCACCAAAAGCCGCGCTAAAAAATAAATCTACCCCGCTTTGGAACCTAACAGCAGATAGGAAATCAATTTTCTGGGATTCTTCAAACAACTGTGTGTTGCTAAAGCTCCCAAACCGATCCCAAATCCGATTGCTCAGTACAAAGGGAGCTGGGGAGAAGCTGGGGCACAGGAGCTGGGGAGCAAAAAAGGGAACAAGAAGGGAAGCGCACGAAAGCGCATCAGAATTCAAAAACGTTGTTCCGAGAGCGTGTTTGCCGTACTGCTGATCCTAACTAGCAAGGAGTTGGCAGAGTCCCTTGCTTAGTTTTTGGTTCTCTGTCTGATGGCGACTATGGACGCCCCTGGCTTTTTAGTTCCTTCAATGCGCACCAGTTATATAGCTAAGTATGACTACATACAAAATATATATAAATGACTCCACCGGAGACAGCACCAGAAACGTCATGCTATGTATGCGCAACTGCGTGCGGCCTCGCTGTGCATAAGATATGTTGTGCGCTGCGGAGAAAAAATTGTTTCCCAATGGAGACACAAGGCACACCACAAGTGCAAAAACTGGTGCCGAACATTGCCGCAGACCCGTCTTGCCAGGCACGTGCTGTCTGTGGCCTTGCCGCGCACGCAACATGTTCTGCGCTGCATAAACGCGCTGCTCGTAGCGGACACTACGAGCGCAAAAGCTGCTGCAGTTGTAAAAATGTCCTGCTAACCTTTTTGCGTAAAAAACATGTTTTGCGCTGAATAAAGGGAATACTTCGCAAGGGGGAGACACGCGCGCACGCGCAATTGGCACGCATAAAGGCGTGCTACTGAGCACAGGTCCCTGTTTTGTACAGGTCCATTGGCACGCACAGGACGCTCTGCGCTACCACATTGAACTTACGCCGACCGGCTGTAAGTGTTCAGTGGCACCCGGGTTCCAAGGTTCCCGGAGAAGTGGAAACGCAACTGCATTCGACTGGCAGAACACATCGCTTGTCAATGCAGACCCCCGCTCTCCCAACGTCTCAGCGGGAAAAACAAGGTGAGCCCGCAGGCCCAACAGCAAAAAGAAGCGCGCAACCCAGGAAAAATAAACAAACACAGATTAGCAGGCCAAAACGAAGCATCAGCCCCCTCCAGGCTTCGTGGCAACCATGATACAGTATTTCAAGCATCGCGGCTCTGGTGCGCATCCATCCACCCCCGTTTGGCATATACACCCCCGTCCACCCCTTGGTCAGTTTTGAAAGCCCTCCAAAACGGTCATAAAACGATTGCAACATGGCTTCTAACAACCCTTCCAGGAAGCGTGGAGCACATCAGCTCCCTCCATGCTTCGTTCCCACCATGAAATTTGAAGCATTGCGGTTCTGGCACGCAACCATCCTGCCGTTTCTGCAATGACTTGGGCTGTCTTCGGCGTACATTGCACATCATTGCACACATTCTGGGCACCCAAGACCGTCATATAGTCCGCGCCAGACAGTTCCTGGCAATAACGTTCTTCCATGAGGCATGGAGTAGCGTTACCCCCCCACGCTTCGTTCTACTTAGCATTGAGAGTCAGGAAGATTTATTTTTTAAAATGATTTTTTTGTTTTTTAATGAAAACTAATTGGTCCTCGAATTTTGGGGATTTGGTTTTTATGATTTTTTATGTTTTTTTAATGATTTGGTTATGATATTTTTTATGATTTTTTATGAATGATTTTATGATTTTCAATGCGTTTTTAATGATTTTTTATGGATTTCCACCAAATCAGAAACAACAAAAATTCATAAAATATTCATAATTTTTAAATAAATTTTTCATAAATTTTATGCATTTTATTGACGTTTTTACGATTTGCCGAGAATCGTAAAAAAAAATCATAAATTTTAAATTTTATGAAAATTTTATGATTTTTATGATTTTTTATGAAAAATTTATGAATATTTTATGAATTTTTATGACTTTTTTATGATTATTTTATGATTTTTTTTAGATTTGTTGAGCACATCAAGAAATTATAAAATAGTTTCGTAAATTTTTCATAAAGTAAAAACCAAACTTTTTTGTTCATAAATGCGTTTCGTAAAATTTTGATAAATAAATCATAAAAAAAATATTTTGAAAACCATATTCCCTAGCCTCTCCCCAACTCACAAACTTAGCATCCATCTTCCTTCCACAGCCCCGTCCACGCCCGTCCACCCTCCCATCTCCATCCATAGCCCCGTCCACACCCATCTTCCGTCCACGAAAACGCTTGCCTCGTCTCCCTCTGCCCCCCCACCAACGACTAAACTAAACGAGAACCCAAGCATCGGAGATTCTTTCGGGAAAAGCACACACATGTGTACTGCTGCGCCAGCGCTACAGCGCATCACACGCGGTAAAACGCTTTCGGGTCATTCGTCGTCTAGTGTTCAATTTTTTGCATAGGTTTCCGGCGGCGTGCATCGTTGGCATGATCAGGGCGTCGATATGGCGGAGATATCCCAGGAGGAGAGGATTTGTCGTTTGTTCTTCTCGAACATGACAAACCTTTGCGGGCTTCGATCTTAAGAATTTACACCTTAGACGCTAGATAGAAATATCGTTGCAGTAAGAAGAAAACAAGACGGTTCCCTTTTTAGTCGGGTTGGAGGTTGGATGTATTATATACATACATACATACATACATACATACATACATGTATATATATACATCAAGTGGCTGTTTTCAATCTCTGCAGCTAGTCTCTCCAACCACATTGCAACATGGCTTCTGACAACCGTTCCAGGAAGCATGGAGCAGCATCAGCCCCCTCCATGCTTCGTTCAAACCATCAAATTTCAAGCATTGCGGTTCTGGCACGCAACAATCCTGCCATTTCGGCCATGACTTGACTGTCTGGCTCATGCATGGTGCACATTTTGGACACCCAAGACCATCATATAAGCCCTGCAACACAGCTCCCCTCGCGTCAGAACGTGCTTCCGCGAAGCATGGAGCAGAACTACCCCCACACATGCTTCGTTCTACTTATGAACTGACCCGGAGCAGCCTGCAATGATGCTTGCGGCGCAACCATGTCCTCGTAACTAGCATATCAGCCGCGCAAGATCGCTCCATTCGCACAACGACGTTCTGCCGCGAAGCATGGAGCAGCATTGGCCCCCTCCACGCTTCGTTCCACTTCCACAGCCCCGATGCACCTTCCGTCTCGCTCCCCTCCCTTCCTTCCCCAGCCCCGTCCACACCGCGCCTCCCGTCTCGCGCCCCTTTCATTCCATCCACAGCCCCGTCCACACCCATCTTCCGCTTGCTTTGTCTCCCTCTTCCGCGGCACTAGCGACTAAACGAGAACCCAAGCATTGGAGATGCTTTTGGGAAAAAACACAGCCACCCAGGAACGTCCTTTTTTCTCCACCTGACAGCGCCCAGGGCTCCAAGGCTCAAGGATTCCAAGGCGGCGTTCAGAACACAGAGGTTTTGAAGATGGCAGCACCCATTGCAATGTTGCAGGCAGCACCCACAGTTTTAAGCAAGGATTCCACGACAACAGCACCCAGCGTTCCAGGGAGGAATTCCGGATTTGGAGAGCGACAAAGTGCGCACCACTCCCAGCCTCAGATTCTGCTAGCAAATCTAAAGTGCAAACAGATCAACGCCCACATGAAATTCTGGCTCTCAAGGTCTGTAGACAAAGTGCGCCCTTCCAGCCCAAGCATCAGCACCCAGGGTTCCACGATGCGATTCTCATATTCAAGCCCTCTACACAGACTGCGCGCCACTCCCAGACAGCACCCAAGGTTTCAATCACCAAGGTTCCAGGATGGGATTCCGGTTTTCCAGTAACTACGTGCCCCAGCCCAAGCAGCACCCTCACTCCGAGCCTAAACAGCGCCAGAGACTGAAACCCAACTGCGTTCTGCTGTTAGGAATAAACAAAACCCTTCTGCAAAGTCGGGCTTGGACGCATGTATTAGCTCTAGGGTTGCCACAGTCATCCTTGCTCAGCGACGATCAAGTAAACTATAGCTGCTTTAATGAGCCATTCGCCGTTTCGTTACGTAAATGCTTGTACTGAGACATGCTACGCGTAGAATGGTCGCTGCTGAAACTTGCTTTGTGAACCCAAAGGCATGGCGCCTTCAAGACTTCACGGAAACAGCCTCCAGCTATGATGACGTTCCTGGGAACAGTCCCAGAAGAAACCTCGCAATCCAAGAGCAATCATGGCAATCACGGCAACCAGGCAACTGGGCCTCCAAAAATGTAAAAGAAGGTATATACTTAAAAGCAGTCTTGTTTCGAAGAGTAAAGAGTATCTCTATCTAAGTCCAAACAAGCATTTCAGTCCTAAGGGTATTTTCTATGAGCAATGGACTGGAACCTGGGCCATGCGCTTCAGTGAGAATACGTCCACCACCGCCGCACATGCATTTCCGGCAGCCTTGAAGAATTGTTGAAGAACTTTCAGCTGCAGCATCTGACAAGAAACACATCTTATAATATGGAAGACTTGGTACAGTCCCCCTGAATATGTGACACAAACTACTGAGACGCCCCACTGTTGTAGATGTAACTATGTGACATACGCACAAAAAGGAAAACTAAGGTTTGCAGCCTTTTCGCACGCACAATCAATTGTACGCACATCTTTGCAAAATGAATTGAGACTGACCTTTCACGGGTTGCGCACGCAGTTCTTGAGCACCTTCACAGAAAATTGGGGAGTGTTGTCGAGGAAAGTGGCATTCCGAGTTTTGAATTTTGACTGTTTAAGGGAAGGGCTTTATGGACTGTTCGCTGTTGATACTGAGATCACACTTGAGCTTGCACTCCAAGGAGGCCGGTGCTTCTTGTTCTAAGCTCTTTGCATCTTGAATGTTTGAGGCTGTTTCTGGCCTTTTTGGGTCTAGCCAGCCACCAGAATCCACCCACTGTGTGTGTGTAACCCTTGGAATCATAGGGATCCTTTTGGATTTGTCCGGTTTGCTTTTTCGCTTTGTGTCACAGCAGGGGAGCGCGGCGTGATTGTGGGACCGCACTCAACGAAGCTACCACAATCACGGGATACCGAGTCAGATCAACTCGGCGTACCTGCCAATTTTTGAAGTTTTGATAAAGTGCTAGTGCAGCTGCAGTCACGCACGGAACGCCGTCACCCTGTCGCTTCGATCCCGCCTTGCGAGTTTGGCCCCTTCTCCGTTTGAGGACCCCGAGGCACCTGTGGTTTCCTACTTGTACCCTTAGGAAATGGAACCCTAGGCCGGCGTGCGGCGCCGCTTTCAGTTCAGTACACCCTATCCTAAGTGTGTTTGGCCTCGTG